GTATACACTGTATTTTAAATACACTTTCACTGAATTGTGAGCTATTCAAACTTACCCAAAACAACTTTAGTAACTCTGATAAATTAGGATATATTTTAACAATACAGAAGTTGACTTAGAATTCCTATAAATCAAATATTTGTGACCTAAAAATGAATTTAAGTGATCAAATATGTAATATTTAAATACTACATTAACAAATCTATTTACTATCAATTACATAATGAATAAGTACAGCACATTTAATACTAAATACTGCTTTTAACACATAAGATTATATGATGATCTTTACAAAATTTAACCATTAGATTTTAATATTTTATTGTTAGAAAACAGTTTAATATTTAATATTCAATTGTTGGAAAATACTTGAATAATTTAATTGTAATGAACCACAAAAGGATAAATGATTTTCTTGAAGTCAACAATTTGTTACTTCAACAATGAAATATGGGCCCCAAAGACACAACAATTTAAATGTGATGATATAGAAAATATGATGCATTAATTTACGTAAAGTGTCACACTACCAAACTGGATTTTTATTTCTTCTTGATTGCTTAAATTCATTTCTGTAGGAAGCCTGAATGAGAGATTCTGTCTGACCTTTCAAATGCAGAGCCATGTTACTTTGGAGAGTGTTTTTTCTTTCTGCCAATCTCTCCACTTGTTCCCACAGTTGTTTTTACCAATTGTGCAGGAGAGGAAGGGGCTTGGGACAATTGATTATGAGTTTCTTCACATAACTGCAAGTCTGGAGTTTGCCAGGAAAATAAGAAATGTGCTGTTAATTTTGGAAAAATACATTCTCTTGGGATTTAATGTCTGTACCAATGATACAACCAAAATGTGAGAGAGAGGTTACTAATTAGGAATGGAAGCTAATGATAAGTGAAAATAAGATTTATATTCTGGAAGAAAGTCATTTTTTAAAGACTGTCCATAGTTAATTAAATATAAGCTATAAGTAGATACTAGTTAATGTATGAGTTACAGAAAATTAATGAAAATCAATGATCTTTATTTGACCTGAGTGGTGAACAGCCTCCTTCCTCAAGTACATTGCATGACCCATGTATCACTGTTTTGCACAATCTATACCATAGAAGAGGTCACAATGCATTGTTTTGATCTCTAGGCCTCACTCTCTGGAAGGTCATTGCCTGAGCCCAACAAATTAAGCCATTAGATTCTGTCCTGAATAATTTTCCTCTGACAGAAAATCAGGAAGCACTTTCTAGATTAAAATGCATAGAAGGTTGATGTATGAATATTTTCAAACAAAGACAAAAAAAACTTGAATATGGCTTTTTTGCTTCAATGTATGCCTCCTTAATAATGACAAAGAGTGGCAGCAGATTCTGGAAGACAAAAGTTGATGGCCCTAAAGAATAGTCTATTTTTATGCATCTCTGTATCCTTTCAACACTGAGAATATGGCCAATTGAACTATAATATTAGCAAAATAAGTGAGTTAAATGTATTAGGCAAAAATTTCTGGCTAGATGATATCTTCCTAATTCTGTCTAAACAGTCAAATCTCTTTTTACCTTTTCATTACTTTATTACAAAGAATTTACTGGTTACTTCTCTATGCTGAGAATCATTCGTTGGTAAAATATAATGACTCTAAATAGAATCTAGTGCTTATGGGCAGGTATGACTTCTAAAACAACTGGGAGTTGTTTGTTTCTCCCTATATTTTGCTGCATCAGATAATTATAAAAGCATGACGTAAAACATGTGGGGCTGCAGAGGTGAGCCATGTTTTCCTGACTACAGCCCTGAATCTCCACTGGAAATCTGAGAAGCAATAGCTTTTATTCACATGCTTTCCTTCATTTCCTTATGTAGCATTAACATTTCAAAATGTCAAAATATTAACAATTAAGAAATAAAAATCTCATCTTTCATGAATTCCCCTATAAGGTATCATCAATTTCATTCCTGCCACTGATTTTAGTGCATGTGATTCTGTAAAGTGAAGCTCATAGTGGGATGTTCCTCATATTGATATACTAAGTAGAAAATTAAGGATTTCACTTTAAAAATGAAATTTGACTTTAAATGGGTTATTTGAACATAATTCTGTCTTATCATTAAGAGTGTAAGCATCAAGAAATTCTTCACGGTAGTATCTCCAGAATTGAGAACAATGGGTATGGATGATAGACATTAAATAAATATTGGTAAATGAATAATGTTCTATGACCTTGTATAGAACTATAAAAATTTACAGTGCTTTTTAAAGAGCAGGTACTAGGAGGGAAAATGTCTTTCTTGTACACCATCTTATTCCCGGAGACTAGCAATGCCTATATACAAAATGTTACATGAATTAAGGAAAGGGGTGGACTGTCTCTTATTCTCCTACTATTCTCACTAATTAGTCAAGGAATGTGGGTGGATGCCTGTATAAGGAAGAATTGAGAATATGCTTGAAACACAGAGGTACAATTACTGTTGTGCTGAACTCAGATCCTGCACTGATAGGCTTGGGTGCTCTGGGATGCTGGGCAGCCTCAGATCTCAGGCTTACTGGACTACTCGTGGGCCTTGGGAGCCCTGGGCTTTAGATGCTGGTATTCTTATTAAACACCAGCTTATGTCTTTGACCTCCTCCTTCCAAAGAGTGAAGAATCTGTATGGAACAAAATTAAAGCAGTACTTTCTATGTCACCAAATGAGTGAAACCTGTGCAAATGTGTCTATAATCTATTTTTCTACAAAACAATTTCTGAAAATATGCCTACTTTGTGTGAGAGAACAGCCTTATCTCCTAAAGCAGCAAAAGATTAGGTCAGTTTGGTTGCCAAAGAAGCTGCGATCTGGAGGAGAGTGAGTGTGCTCATTTTGGATTAATTTTATTTATTGTTTTCCTGGTAAAATAGCATAGATGACCTCCCTTCTATGACAATAACAGAATAAAAGCTGGGAGGATTTAGAGACTTTTCACTGAGATGAACACCTTTTTTTTTTTTTTTTAAGTGAAACAAAGTAAAGCTTAAGGTACCAGATTTTATTCTTTTTTCCAGGGACTACTGAACTTTGCTCCCATCTTTGAACTAAAAAGAAAACCCAAAGAGATACATTTGAACTCATATTCTTGCTAATTATCAAACAAAGGCAATACTTACTGCTGTGAGTCTTAGTCCCTCATCTGTAAAATGCAGATGACAATATGTGTATGTTTCCTCTTAAGGGTATTTCAAAAAGTTCATGGAAAATGGGATTAAAAGGTAAGAGTATTTTGTTACAAAAATAATTTTGAAATGCATGCATAGTTTTTTTTTCATAACATGCATTTCTATGAAGTTTTTGAATATACCTCCTGTAGATATACATATTATTTCTAATAATTGTGATTTCCATACCCCTAATCTTCATTTTAAATTGTTTCATACAGAGCCACAATAGGAACTCAATGTGTAGTACAGCCAGGAATAGCATCCCAGTTACTGGTGAGAACATAAAACAAAGAAATTTTATTGAAAGTTACACTTTCACATTGATTTCACCTATGTTAAATTTCCTCATAAAAATAGATAAATATTTTAAAATTTCAATTTATTTTAAAGATATAAACAAAGAGTTATATGTAAGTAGTCAGATTATGATTGCCAGTGGTTGTGTTGATGGCTTATAGTTTCCTCCTACTTTTGTGCTCAGTGGTGTGAGTCAGTTTGTGACTTCTTTTCCAAGGAAGACACACGACCTCTTTTCCTTCTGACACATGGGACCTGCCCTTCTCCATCCTCATGCAGCACCGTGCCTCTGTCATCTGTGGCCTCAAACACACAGGCAACATTTGTCATCTCCTTTATTGCTCTCCATCAAGAGGAACAGAGTACCCTTGGTATAATTTTAATAAAAATTCAAGAATGTAAACATCTAAATGACTGTAATTATTCAAGGTTTTCAATGAATGACTCTGTGTATGAATTTTAAAGAGCCAGAAACTACCTCTCAAATATGATGTCCTCTATTCATATGTCATGAGCACTTAATAAATTATTTTGGAATAGACTTATGATTAATTTGAAGTGGTATTTTAAAGAATGTATTTTTGAGATAAATCCATTTTTTAGACTGACATGGTTATTAACTATTAATTCTTACCAGCCAGGTATTATTTGGCACTTTTAAGAGTTATACATGTTGGGACAAGCATTGTTGTACAGTGGGTTAATCCACCACCTTCAATGCTGGCTTCCTGTGTGAGTCCCTGTTGCTTCACTGTCAATGCAGCTCCCTGCTATTTAGCCTGGGAAGGCAGTGAAAGTTGGCCCAAGTGCTTGGGCCCCTGCCACTCACATGGGAGACCCAGATGGAGCTGCTGGTTCCTCGCTTTGGCCCATGCCTTTGAGGCTATTTGGGGAGTGAACCAGCAAATGGAAGACTTCTCTCCCTCTCCTCCCTCCCCTCTCTTTTCCTCCTCCTCTCCTTTTCCCCTCATTTCTCCCCTCCCCCTCTCTTCCTCCTCTCTCTTCCTCTCTCCATCCCTCTCTCCCTGTGTCTCGTATTCTGTCTCTCTGCATTTCAAGTAAATACATAATTTTTTTAAAAAAAGGTTACATGCTAGAAAAATAATGTGAAAGTTATTTTATAATAACAATTCTCCCCTTAAAAATTTTAAGCTATTTTAAATGTTTATCAATCTGATGATCTTTGTGACATCAGAAAAGATATGGTATCATTGCCATATCAACAAGTCAGACAGGGGACATGGTGAAACTCGTAAGACACTAGTCAGAATGCTTACTGTTGCGATTGGAAATGATCTGTGATTGTGATTAATTGCTTTTGAAATTTTCATCAAAATTGATCTGTACAATTTTCTGGCACTGGCTCGGTAAGTCAAATCTCATCCTGGAATTACATAAATCAATTTAGTCTGGACTTCTGTAAAAACTGGGGGGAGAAAGATAGAAGTAATTTCTGAGTTGTCAGTGACTGATGGATGTTCTGATTTCACAGTTTTAGTAAAGAAAAGGTCTTACCATAGCTGTCATAGGCATCCTCAGTTACTCCGTGACCGTAGTCATAGTATTCAGGCACACTGAAACAGATGCAGACAGCAATCAATGTTAGTGAGATTAGCAAGAATCAACCCAGACTCTCATATGGAATTTGAAAGCAAAATGTGTGCTAAAGTAACATCCCAGGAACTGCTAGAAATAAAACACAATCCTAAAGACAGTAGGAAAATACTGTAGGTAGGAAAGACAGTAGGAAAAATACAAGTTATTGACAAGAAGTGCTGTGATGTTTTTCCAGCCTTTTCAGTATTTTTTTAAATCTATCCTCCAATTTGATAAATCAAATTTTCCCTAAAACACAAGTATAATATTTCAAAATTTGTGCATAGGAAAGTTACAAAAGGTCTGTTGCTACATATAATGATAAGCTGGTCGATTGTCTGTGGTTTTCAATGCTATTACCTTAAGAAAATCCATCTTCAATTTCTAATACTGAAACTATATTTATACTCCATTGTTGCTGCTGCAGCAAGTCTGTAAACTTACCAAATATATACGACATTTCTTTTCCCTCAATAATTCACTAAGTGCGTCCACATTTCAGTGTTTGTCTAAAGGTATTCTTCCTCGATGTGTTATTCAAAAGACAATTTATGTGTCTACTCTCACCTACTTTCCAACTGTCTTCACTTCATCATTCAGAATCAGTTTACCCCTTTATGACATCATTCCTATTAATATCCAAACCCATTATCTATACCTCCAATCTTTAAAAAGCTCTCCCTAACCTACATGTCTCCTTTAGCAACTATTCCTTTCTTGATAGAATCTTTATAGAAAAATTTCATGAAAAGCATTAACTCTACTCATTCTTTCAAGTTTTTAAAAATTTATTTTCATTTTTATTTGCAAGATAGAGAGTTAGAAAGATGGAGAGAGGTCCTGCATCCATGGGTTCACTTCCTAAATGCCCACAGAAGATGGGTCTGGGCCAGGTCAAAATCAGGAGCCAGGAACCCCACCCAGGTCTCCCACATGGGAGGCAAGAACCCAAGTACTTGAGCCAACACCTCTTGTGTCCCACGGGGTAGATTAACAGAAAGTTGGATCAGAAGTGGAGGAGCTGGGGCTTGAAACAGGTTCTCTAATATGGGATGTATATATTCCCAACTGTGAGTTAACTACTGCACCAAACTCCCATCCCTCTACTCATTATTTTTACTGACTCTCCCTCTGTGTGCTTTTGAAGACATTCAACACAGCTGTTGTTCCCCCTGCACCACTGAAACAGCTTTTGTCAACATCTTGACATTTTCAACTCCAATGATCAAAGCTTGGTCTTCATTTTACTTTAGTACCATTTGACACAGTTGATCAATTCCTGCTCCTTCAAACACTTCGCTTGCTCTCAAGTCACCTCATTTCCTTGTTTGTTTTTTTTTTTTCTTTCTATTTTTCCGAATTTTCCTGACCACTTAACCCTAGAGACCACTGGGCCTCAGGTGTTAGAGTTTTTCTCTGTTTCTACCCAGACTCATTCCTTAGCCAATCTCCTCTGCTGTGATTTCTTTAATGACACTTGCACTCTGATGACTCTCAAATTATGACCCCACTCTTTTTTTTTTTTTTTTAGATTTATTTGAAAGGTAGAGATATAGATAGTGAGAGAGAGAGAGAGAGAGACAAAGAGAAAGGTCTTCCTTCCGTTGGGTCACCCCCTAAATGGCCACTACGGCCGGCGCTGCACTGATCTGAAGCCAGGATCTTGGTGCTTCCTCCTGGTCTCCCATGCAGGTGCAGGGGCCCAAGCACTTGGGCCATCCTCCACTGCCCTCCTGGGCCACAGCAGAGAGCTGGACTGGAAGAGGGGCAACCAGGACTAGAACCCGGCACCCACATGGGATGCCGGTGCCACAGGCTGAGGATTAACCAAGTGAGCCACAGCACCGGCCCCATGACCCCACTCTTGACACCTCTCCTCTGTTCTGGATTTACATTTCCTACAGTACATTTCCACTTGCTTGTCCATCTTAACATTTCAAAACATAAAAATGTCTATTTCCTACTCAGACTCCTCCCTTTTGCATTTTTCTCATCTTTGTCCATGATAACACCTTAGTATTACTTATACAAAAAATCTTGGAATCCTCTTTTTCTCACATCTAATGTTTAATCGAACAGTAAATTCTTGAACCTCTAGTTGCAAAATACATCAAGAATATTAACATGTCTATACATCTCCGAGAGAGAACTGTGGTAGAAGTAAAGTAATTACCATCTCTCACAGAGTGAATTCCGTATCCTTCTAACTGGTCCCTGCCCTGCTTGCTCTGTTTCTACTATCCACTTAGCAATCAAAGTCATTGTTATAGAAGTAACTTAGATCCTATAAGTCTTCTACTCAAAATCCATCGTTAGTTCCTCTATCTTATAGAGTACAAAATTCTTATTTTTCTCACACAATTTGTCAGCCACGTGTTTCTTAGACCTTACGTGCCACCATTTTCTCCTTTGCTCACTCTACGGGCTTCTAGAGGTTCCCTCAAGGCGACACACACACGATTGTGTCAAGATCTTTTCATTTGTTGTTCCTGCTACCTGGAACATGTTTTCCTGCGTGTCCAGTTGCCCCTTCTTTCATTCTTTGAGAGCTCATCAAAATGCCACTCATGAGATGTTCCCATCATAATCCTGCTTAATATTCGCCCACCCTTTACTTTGTTTTGTTCAGCTTAGCATTTATCAGTTGCCACTGTAATATTATATAAAGAAATACACTAGCACAATTTGCTTATTTTTAAGCACAATTTTTTTTTTAAGTGGTTATTTCTCACTTCCGTAACATAAGCTCCTTGATATAGGAACTCAGTCTCTTATTCACTGACTTTCACTGTTGCAGGTTGATTTTCCAGAATACTGTTTGGCACACAAGAGTTTCTCAGTGCATATTCATGGAACAACAGAATGAATTGTTTATAGGAAGATTAGACACAATTTAAATGAGTAGCTTATTATACATAAGTCAGAATTTTTAAAAATGCTATGCAAAAACAGATTTTTAAGTTAGTATTTGGATTATTTTAGTATTTAGATTATTTATGTATTTAAAATATTTTATTTATTGTTTTGTTTGAAAGCCAGAGAGAGAGAGAAAGAGAGAGAGAGAGAGATTCCATCTACTAGTTCACTACCCAAATGCCCACAGTAGCCAGGGTAGGACTAGACTAAGCCCGGATCCAGAAATACCATCTTAATCTTTCAAATGGGTTAAACAGGCCCAATTACTGGAGCCAAGATCTGCTGTTTCCCAGGGTACACACTGGCAGGAAGCTAGTAAGAAGTGGAGGAGCTAGAACTCAAACCAGGTACTGTTATGGGATGTGGGCATCCTAAGCAGAAGCAACTTACCACTGAGCCAAATTCTTTTTTCATAAATTCATATAGTTTAAATATTGCCTAAGCTCCTATATTTACAGTACAATCATTTTTCCCCAAATAAGCTCTTTGGCTTAAAATTAGGTATGAAACATTACTCTGCCTGGATCTCATTTTATAAATTATCTAAATTACTAATTATTTTTAAATATGTAAATGTGTGGCAAGAAAATTACTTAGTATCAAACACCAAACAGGATAAGGGCTGCAAATGGGGGATTGATGCCAAATGGTTAGGCCACACGAAAAGACCAAAAGGCCTCACGTTATATAGTCTCTGAATGTGGTTTTGATTATCCATCAGAGCAATCCCTAAGTCTCCTTATTTTAAGTACTTGGGATTTCACTGGTAGTGTGAAATAGAAATAACAAAGAACACAAAATGATAAAAGAGGTGGAGAGAAGGTTGATCATCTTTATTTTTCTTGGCGAGGGACAATCTATGATGCACTAGCTTCAGTTTTAAAGAATTTTGGGAAAAAGATTGCCTAGATCTGCTTGTACTGCCCAGGATACTTATATACGGACTACCTGCTCTCCCCTTCCTACCAAAGACTGGAGACAGTCAAGGCTAAAACCATCGCCCAGTGACTGGATGTTTCTTTGTTTCTTACACACTTATATCCATTTGAATGACGTAACCCAACTCAGAAACCTCATCCCAATTCAGAATATGTGTCACAAATTCTTGGCTCTTTGGGTGATCAATAAGTGATGTGAAATGTGAAAATGATTTCCTATTAATAGAGATGGAGAGAAAAATGCTGGCTTCATCAGTAATTTCTGCCTTAGTCAATAATTGTTATTTGAGTAGGCCTCTGAATATGTATCACAAAGTATGCTATATAAAGACAAGTAGCACCCAAAACTATGCAGTATCATTTCTGTATTTCTTACTGGATTTCAATTTTAGTTGATAAACATAAGGGAAAGAAAGAGAATAGTAGTGAAAGAGACCATGATGAAGAAGTTGTAGTTGCGGTCTAGCATAAGTGATACATAAACACCAAGAGGAAAATTTTGGAATAACTTTCTAAATCTAAAAATTGGAAAATGGAGCATACAAGGCAGTTGTCAAATAATAATGGAAAATGATGGCTAAATATCATATTGAACTCCTCCAGAATCTCTACTTTTGCCTATTCAAATAACACTTCTTTTTTATGCCACAGAGAAAACTTACTTGGACAAATAAGTGACTATGCAGTAGTACTGTACTTCCTAGCCAGTCACCATTTCAGCTCAATGTGCCCTTGTGACTAAATTAGGAAACATGGGGTGTGTGTGCGGAAGTAAGGTGGCAACCTCAGTCATTTTTAGTTTGAAAACAATCTTGTCATTTTCACTTGCACAACTTCACCTTATTACTTGATAGAAGGCACTCAGTGTGGTGACCAAGAATCTACTTTGCAAACGAGTTAGGAAGTGACAAAATGCCACATGGAAGGAACCTGTCACTTTAGATGACCACATGAAGCAGACTTTCCCTACCTCCTACCTCAGTGATTGTTAAGAGAAAATTTTGTATATTGCGTGGATTATTGAGTTTTGATTCTGTTACAGTAGCTTAGTTGAACACAAATCAGGATGTAGAAGTATGGAACTCCCATTAAAATCCCAAACTAGGGGGTTTTAGCCAGTGGGG